AGGCTATAGGCTTGACAAAAATTCCAATTTTTAAAACTAAAAATAATGGTCTAAATTGAAGCTCAGCTAAGCTATCTCTATCAGAATCAACTCTTAACGAGCTTAGTTTGATTTAGGAAAGAATTTTAGGAGGAGAAAAAGCGATTTTTTACACTGAAATGGTGACAAAAAGTAAGGCTATAGGTTTGACAAAAATGCCAATTTTTGAAGGTTAAAATATTTTTTTAGAAATAGAAGCTATACGAAACTATCTCTATCTGAAACAATTTTTATCCTTTTTTGTTTGATCAGGAAAGAATTTTAGGGGGAGAAAAAGCGGTTTTTCACACCGAAATGGTGACAAAAAGTAAGGCTATAGGCTTGACAAAAATGCCGATTTTTGAAGCTAAAAATATTTGTCTAAATTGAAGCTCAGCTAAGTTATCTCTATCAGAATCATCTCTAAACCAGTTTAGTTTGATTTATGAAAGAATTTTAGGAGGAGAAAGAACGGTGTTTTTTACACTGAAATGGTGATAAAAAGTAAGGCTATAGGCTTGACAAAATTTCCAATTTTTGAAGCTAAAAATATTTGTCAAAATTGATACTCAGCTAAGCTATCTCTTTCAGAATCAACGCTAAACCAGTTTAGTTTGATTTATGAAAGAATTTTAGGAGGAGAAAAAGCGGTTTTTTTACACTGAAATGGTGCCAAAAAGTAAGGTATAGGCTTGACAAAAATTCCAATTTTTGAAGCTAAAAATATTTGTCTAATTTCAAGCTCAGCTAAGTTATCTCTATCAGAATCATCTCTAAACCAGTTTAGTTTGATTTATGAAAGAATTTTAGGAGGAGAAAGAACGGTTTTTTACAATTAAATGGTACCAAAAAGTAAGGCTATAGGCTTGGCAAAAATCGCAATTTTTGAAGCAAAAAATATTTGTGTAAATTGAAGCTCAGCTAAGCTATCTCTATCAGAATCGACTCAAAACCAGTTTAGTTTGAATTATGAAGGAATTTTAGGAGGAGAAAAAGCGGTTTTTTTACACTGAAATGGTGATAAAAAGTATGGCTATAGGCTTGACAAAAATGCCGATTTTTGAAGCTAAAAATATTTGTCTAAATTGAAGCTTAGCTAAGTTATCTCTATCAGAATCATCTCTAAACCAGTTTAGTTTGATTTATGAAATAATTTTAGGAGGAGAAAGAACGGTTTTTTACAATTAAATGGTACCAAAAAGTAAGGCTATAGGCTTGGCAAAAATCGCAATTTTTGAAGCAAAGAATATTTGTGTAAATTGAAGCTCAGCTAAGCTATCTCTATCAGAATCGACTCAAAACCAGTTTAGTTTGAATTATGAAGGAATTTTAGGAGGAGAAAAAGCGGTTTTTTTACACTGAAATGGTGATAAAAAGTAAGGCTATAGGCTTGACAAAATTTCCAATTTTTGAAGCTAAAACTATTTGTCTAAATAGATACTCAGCTTAGCTATCTCTATCAGAATCAACTCTAAGCCAGTTTAGTTTGATTTATGAAAGAATTTTAAGAGGAGAAAAAGCGCATCTTTTTACACTGAAATGGTGACAAAAAGTGAGGCTATAGGCTTGACAAAAATTCCAATTTTTAAAACTAAAAATAATGGTCTAAATTGAAGCTCAGCTAAGCTATCTCTATCAGAATCAACTCTTAACGAGCTTAGTTTGATTTAGGAAAGAATTTTAGGAGGAGAAAAAGCGATTTTTTACACTGAAATGGTGACAAAAAGTAAGGCTATAGGTTTGACAAAAATGCCAATTTTTGAAGGTTAAAATATTTTTTTAGAAATAGAAGCTATACGAAACTATCTCTATCTGAAACAATTTTTATCCTTTTTTGTTTGATCAGGAAAGAATTTTAGGGGGAGAAAAAGCGGTTTTTCACACCGAAATGGTGACAAAAAGTAAGGCTATAGGCTTGACAAAAATGCCGATTTTTGAAGCTAAAAATATTTGTCTAAATTGAAGCTCAGCTAAGTTATCTCTATCAGAATCATCTCTAAACCAGTTTAGTTTGATTTATGAAAGAATTTTAGGAGGAGAAAGAACGGTGTTTTTTACACTGAAATGGTGATAAAAAGTAAGGCTATAGGCTTGACAAAATTTCCAATTTTTGAAGCTAAAAATATTTGTCAAAATTGATACTCAGCTAAGCTATCTCTTTCAGAATCAACGCTAAACCAGTTTAGTTTGATTTATGAAAGAATTTTAGGAGGAGAAAAAGCGGTTTTTTTACACTGAAATGGTGCCAAAAAGTAAGGTATAGGCTTGACAAAAATTCCAATTTTTGAAGCTAAAAATATTTGTCTAATTTCAAGCTCAGCTAAGTTATCTCTATCAGAATCATCTCTAAACCAGTTTAGTTTGATTTATGAAAGAATTTTAGGAGGAGAAAGAACGGTTTTTTTACAATTAAATGGTACCAAAAAGTAAGGCTATAGGCTTGGCAAAAATCGCAATTTTTGAAGCAAAAAATATTTGTGTAAATTGAAGCTCAGCTAAGCTATCTCTATCAGAATCGACTCAAAACCAGTTTAGTTTGAATTATGAAGGAATTTTAGGAGGAGAAAAAGCGGTTTTTTTACACTGAAATGGTGATAAAAAGTATGGCTATAGGCTTGACAAAAATGCCGATTTTTGAAGCTAAAAATATTT